AGGTCACCCTTGGGCAGGGGACAGTGCCAAGGGCTCCTCTCCTTCCCTCTCCCCTCACCTGGGCTCCACTTCTCCAGTGACTGAGAGCAGGGTCCCTCCGCGAGGGTCATTCGGGGCATCTCCCAAAAGGCCTCGGGGTGGCGGGCCACTAGCAGGTAGAGGTCCACGCTGCATAGGGGCCCTCGGGTCTGGCATGGGCACTGCCAGGGAGACACACAAGAGCTCGTGAGGATCTGCATGACCAGTGCCGTGCCATGACTGACCCGGCGCTCTCGGGCCGGGTGTGGGTCAGCTGCACTGCTAGGGAGGCAGCCCCACACCCAAGGCTGGAGCACACCGAAGTCCCTTTCCTGGTTGCTGATTTTATTCCTCTCCTTTTCCTCCTTGCATCTACCTCAGGCTCCTTATGGCACCCAGGGTGAAACCAAGCGTGGGTGCCCCCATGGCAATCCCTACAAGCGTGGACATTAACACCCTGCTGACGTGGGGCCACGAGTAAAGCAAGACCTGGAAGACTCCTGGAAGCGCAGTGTCAAAGGAGGCTGGACCCTAGGCAAAAGCCCTCTCCAGACAGGCTCTCCTTTTCCACTGGAGGCTCCATGCCTGGCTCTAGACTGTTCTCTCCTGCGGCCCTAAAGGAAATCCTGCCTCCTCCTCCTCTTAATCCTGCCAGGCTACAGGGAGTGATATGCCAGTCCCCAGGCCTGAGCACAGTGGGGTGAAAGCTGCTCTCTGCACACTCCACAATGAGCTCCGTGGGAGGAGGGAGCTGGCGGGTGCTGGGATACCTTGGACGCGTTCGATAGACGCAGGCCTGGCAGGTCCCACGGGCGAGAGCTGCAGGTTCCCTGGGCAAGCAGCAGGAAAAGAGGGAAAGAGCAGACACGTAAATAGTGTGTGCACACATGCACCCAGCCTTGGGGACAGTGCTGTCTGCAGGATCACACTTCCTAAATTCCCCAGGAAAACCTACAGAGAAGATGCTGCAGATCGGGCTTTATCAACCTCTTCTATTAACACCACCTCTGTCACCACAGGCAGCACAAACAGTGTGGCACGGTCCTTCCCTTGCTCAGGGAGAGAGGCAGGGAAGGAAGACAACCTGCCAAAAGACATGGCATTCTGTGGGGCCATGTTAGCCCCACAACACACGACCAGCCAGCTCCTGCTTCTAACCCTGCCCACAGTTTCTGCTCTCCAAAACCTTTCAGGTTCCAAGAACTACCAGGTTGTTCTCAGGAAGACACTGCCCACTCCAAAGAAAATGAGAGCCAACTACCCCTAAGGCCAAAGTATCTCAGACCAGGTTTACCATGTCCCTGAAACAAGGCCTAGGATACAAGTCAGGGTGTCAGGTGCCTGCATGCTTTGTTACTGGGAGAACAAGAACGCGTGGGTCTCGCTAGCCCTGGCACATGGCAACACGTGGACCACAAGGAATCTGGCTATGGGGCTGGGCCGTACAGACCGTGCCTGCGGAGGGAAAGCCGAGCCGTCACTCCCCGGGAAACTCCCAGCCAAGCCTCAAGCCAAAGCGGAGGCCCAGCTCCCTCTGCTGGGCACGGTGGGGGGAGGACGCAGTGGCCGCACCAGCTGCTTCCCAGCACCCAGGCAGCAAAGGAGCAGGACAGGGACCAGAGAAGAGCAAGCTCCGCCTGCCCGCACAAGCACAGGGACACACACGGACTCGCAGAGGTGGAAAACACAGGCACATCCCGCTCGGCGGGGCTTGGCAGCTCTCCCTGGCTTCCAGGGCACGACTGCACTGCACAGCACAGCACAGAATGGGCTGGGAGCAAACCGGTGAGTGGGCTGAGTCCTGGGAGCCAGAGAGCTGCTACCACAGCCTTGTGCCTAAGCCTTGTGCTACCACAGCCCAGCGCTGTGGAGCTGCCCCCGGGGCAGGCACAGCCAGGCTGCAGGTGGCTGGAAGGGGCTCTGGATGCTGCACTGCTCAGCACAGCCTGGGCCCTGTTGGAGGGAGGCTCGACCCATGCACAGCATCAAACACATCAGTTTTACCTTGTCCACGCTCCAAGGGGACAGGACCTGCACCCGGCATCCCAACCTGTGGCTGCAGACCACCTGGGAGGGGACAGAGATCAGACCTCTCCTCAGCCATCCCTGCACCACTAACCCATTCATTTGGCCCCACATATCTTCCCCCTCCCAGCTCCTGGGGTTTATTTCTTTGGTGCTGGTCCCCCTCAGAGATAATCCAACACTCCAGCCCACACCTGGCAACAGCCACAACCACAACATGCAGTATGGGACCACATATGCTCTCATCAAGCCAAGCCCTTCGGTCAAGGGGAAGGCAGAGGGAGATGTCTGCAGGACCTGCATGCCCATGGGTGGGGTGGCTCAGCCCAAACTCACCTCCTGGAGCCATGGGGCCAGGTCCTGGGCCCTGCACAGGGGCTGCCATCTGCCCTGGGGCTGGCACTCCCCCCTGCATGGGCGGCTGCATCAGAGGAGGAGCGCCATTCACGTGCATCCCACCCTGCCAGGAGAGACACCGGAGTTCAGGGACGTCTGGTCACCCAGGTGTGCCCCCCGGCTGGAAGAGCTGGAGCTGGCATTGCCCATCTTCCCTGCACAGCTCATGTGTTGTGCAGGCTCTTACTATGGGCTGTGGCTGTGACGAGGGGGTGTTCTGCGGGTTCAGCTGCGCGTTGGGCCCTGGCCCAGGCCCTGGTCCTGGCCCAGGTCCTGGCCCTGGCACTGGCTGCTGGTTGCCTGGGATCAGAGGAGGAACACTGGTCTGGCGATGCAGGATTTTCTAGGGGAAGAAGAAAGAGAAAGGAGTTCTTTCTCACTCCCACTCCACACAGGCTGCCACCAACACGCTCCCAACCCCAGATGAGCAGCAAGGGACGAACCAGCGCAATCTCGGGGTCGACAATCCTCATGACCACCTGGGCCTGCAGCAGGGCATAAGCTAGCTGGGGATTCTGCAGCAGCATGTTCCTGGCTTCCTGAGGGCTGTTCTGGACACACAGCTGAGAAGACACGCACAGATCAGTGCTCTGACAAGGTGTGACGGGTGCAGTGGTGGTGGGAGCTGTGCCCTCCCGCACTCACCTTCATCTGCTTCATGAGCTCGAACATCTGCTCGGGGGGCAGGCTGGCCACTGCCCGGCTGATGGACTCGGGAGCATCCTCAGGGTTCACAGGATCCCCATAGGGTGACTCTATGATGGGGGCACCTGTGCCCAAGCCTGAAACACAGTTGGTGACCTTGTATGGCAGCATGAACTGACTGCGGGTAATGGTGTCATGAGGAGGGGAGCACCACCCCACTATGGGGAAAAGGAGGCAGTAAAAACAGGGAGACATCAGGAGGAATTTCTTAACAGAAAGGGTGGCCAGGCATTGGAATGGGCTGCCCAGGGAGGTGGTGGAGTCACCATCCCTGGAGGCATTTAGGAAAAGACTGGATGTGGCACTTAGTGCCGTGGTTTAGTTGACAAGGTAGTGTTTGGTCAAAGTTTGGACTTGATCTTAAGAGATCTTTTCCAACCTAAAAGATCCTATGATCACCTGGGAGGAAAAACACAGTGCTGAGCCCACGCACCCCTCTGGGGAGCCAGTCACAACACCCCTTAGAACAAGTCAGCTCTGACAGCACTGCCCACCCCAGAGTTCAGACTCACTCTTGAGCTCCTCCTTGTTCTTCTCGCTGGCGGCGTTGTCGACACGCAGGGCCCTCCCGCTGAACTCACGCCCGTTCAGGTTCCTCATGGCGCTCAGCGCCGTCTCCTGGTCCTGGTACTCACAGAAGCCATATCCCTTGGGCTTCCCCGTCTCCCTGTCATACACCAGCCTGTGCAGGGAGGGGAGGGACACCGCTGCTGAGGGTAGGGTGGGCACCCAGCAGTGCCCATGGCTCCCAAAGCAAGGGAGGAGCTGCTGGGATACACCCCATGGGTGTGCTGGGAGCAGTGACAGCACCGACATCGGGCTTAGGCTGGTTAAGTCATCCCTAAGCCAGAGACAAAGGGTTTCCTGGCTCCTAGGAGGGGTGTTCCCAAAGCTCTGGGAACTTTGTGCAGCAACTCTGTGCTTTCTCTGACCCCACCAGGCAGCTCACAGGGGCACAGGATGGGACTGGCTGCTCCTGGAGCTCACAAGCCCTTAAATGAGAGCTCTTCAGGACCTGGAAAACACCCCTGGGAGGCACTGGGATGGGAGTGAGGAGCACAGAGCCTGCGTAGGGCCTGAGCACTCCTCTGCCACAGGAGGGTGTCCCTTTGTTGTGCTCCATCTCCAGGTGACCAAGGCACAGCCCCCCAGTCCCTGAGCACACCCGGCACAGCCTCACAACACCCCCAGATGCTGCACTGCTCTGCTCAAGGCGTGCCAGGGCAGGTTTAGACTGGAATATACGGGAAAACCTCTTCACTTGTTGTCAAGATCTGGCACAGGCTGCCCAGGGAAGCGGTGGATTCACCATCCCTGGGGATGCTCAGAAGGCGTGTAGATGTGGCACTTGGGGACGTGGTTTAGCGGCAACAGTGCTGGGGGAACGGTGGACTCGATGGCCTCAGAGGGCTTTTCCATCGTTAAGGATTCCCGACTCCGCGGCTCTCAGAGCCCGGTCCGGGGCCGAGCTGGGGGACACAGGGGAGGCCGGCGGCCGCTCTCACCTAAAGCTGACCACGGGCCCGACCTCCGAGAAAATGTCCTTCAGCTGCTCCTCGGTGGCCTCGTACGGGATGTTCCCCACTGCGGAGAGAGGCGGAGACGCCGGTCAGCGCGCCGGGACCGACCCAACGGCGAGGGGCACCCCGAGGGGTGCCCGCCTGCCCCGTCCCCGCCCCCGCGCCGTCCCTCGGCCCCTCTCACCGAACACGGAGCGCAGGGAGCGATCCACGGCCGGGTCCCGCACCGACAGGCCCGCCATGGCTCCCCGGGCCGCGCACGCACCGGCCCCGCTTCCGCCCCCGCCCCCGCCCCGCCCGCAGCACGCATGGCGGTGGCGCTCACCGAAAGTGCTCCGGCTGGAAACGCCCGGTAGGACCGCGAGCCCCGGGCCGGGAGCGGGACCCCGACTGTGGCCTCGGGGAGCCCTCCTGGCACAGCCGGTCAGGAGGTGCCGGCTCCTGGAGCATCCCCGCGGCCTCGAGGGTGCAGTTCCGGGAACCGGCCCTGAGGCACAGCCCCCCGGGTATCCCCCACCGGGCACCCCATCCCCGAGAGCCCCCATCCCAGGGTGCCCCATCCTAATCCCCTGGGTCACCTCACCCCTAGTGTACCCCCCCTCTGGAGTACTTTACCCCCAGACACCTCATCCCCTGGGGTGCCCCATTACCAGGCACGCCATCCCATCCCATCCCATCCCATCCCATCCCATCCCATCCCATCCCTATTGCCCGACCCCAGAGCACCCCATTCCCTGGGACACCACCCCCAGGGCACCCCACCACCCGGTCCCCCTGTCCCCAGTGCCCCCAGCCCCTGGCTCGGGCAGCAGCCAGGGCTCCGACGTCCCTGGCACCTGGTGAAGTCCCTCCATCCCGGGGCTTGGCAGGATGGAAGCCAAGGACAGCCCCATCCCCATCCCTGCACTGGCCACGGAGCGGCGGCTCGCCCAGCGCCTCAGGTGAGGGGAATGGGAACGAGGGAGGAATTGGAGCACGGGGATAATGGGAGCCCTGTGCTGCTCCAGCAGGTGACGGTGGGGCTGGCTGGGAGGAGGGTCACAGAGCCAGTCCCGCACCAGGAGGGTCTGCGGGGCTGGGAAGGGCCTGACCAGGCCTTGGCCTTGCAGGGAGCGTTTGGAAGAGGAGCAGCTGCTGGACGGGCGCTACCAGCTGCAGCAGCTGCCAGGGGGCCGCGTAGCCCTGCCTGTGCTGGAGGAGAAGCTGCCCCAGCTGTGCCTGCCCCTGGAGATGCCCCATGAGCTAGTCTGGATCCAGGTCAGGAGAGCCCCCTTGCCCCGAGCCCTGCATGGAGCGGTGAGGTCTCAGCTCCACGTGCCACATCCCCGCAGCAGGACCCTGTCCCCTCCAGGGCATCCCGGCGGCGGGCGCCTGCCCAGAAGCTGCGGGATGAGCTGCGGCGGCTGCTGGGCGGGAGCTGGTCGGAGGAGCTGGAGCGGGATGTGCCCCACGCCTGGCAGCGGCACGGGGACCTGGTGCTGCTGAGCGAGGACAGCTTCAAGGCTGCGCTGTGGGAGAGCCTGGGTAAGGGGGAGCAGGGTCTGCCTGCCCTGATCCTGCCCACAGAACCTGTGCTGGCCTTTCCCAAATCTCCTGGGATGGGTGTGTTCCAGGTCCAGCGCTCTGGGAGACGGTGGCCTCGGTTTTGGGTGCCCGGCGGGTAGCCAGGCGTGGACGGGTGTTGCCAGACGGGATGCGGACCCCCAGTGTGACCCTGCTGCTAGGCCAGGATGGCTGGGTGGAACATGTGGACAATGGGATCAGGTAGGCAGGAGCTGTGCTGGGGGACACAGCCGGCATAGGGAGGGGGCCACCTTCACCATCGCGGCGGGGTCTTCCAGGTACACCTTCGACGTGACCAAGTGCATGTTCTCACCGGGAAACATCACAGAGAAGCTGCGGGTGGCCTCGCTGCCCTGCTCCGGGGAGGTCCTGGTGGATCTCTATGCAGGTAATGGGAATGGAGAAGGGGTTTGGCAGGGTGGGCAGGCAGAGAGCAGTGATGCAGATGGCATCCAGATGGATGTGAAATGTCATTTTCAGCCTGGAGTGAAAAATACTTAGGCTTAGAGCGCCCACCGTGTTTGTGAGCCCTCAGCTATCCTGGCACTTCTGTCCCTCCTGTGTCCCTGCTGCCTTTGGACATGTAGGATGACCTTGCATGCAGGCTCTGCAGATCACCACTGCTCGAGGGAATCATTTGGATCCAGGGAAAAGATTTGCCACTCTTTTGTGCTTAGTGAAGTTGGTGCTTCCAATTTGTGCCACGCTGAAGGGATGTGGCACCCACAAAACTGCTCTTGATTAATTAAATGTTAGTCTGGGCACTCCTGCACAGAGTGGAAGCAGGGCAGGTTTTGAGCTGATGTCCAGAGACTGAAGGTAAAATAAGCTCCTCTGAACATTTTTCAAGACAAATTTTGCTTTTGCAGAGGAGGGAAGGATGAACTTCCATTTCCCCAGTGTTTGGGCTCATTCGAACCTGGAGCAAAGCAGATTTGGAGACCTGGAGTGACAGCGTGTACCCCTCCCTGCCTCCAGGAAGGAGCATGGATCCCCAGCAGGTCCTTGCCCTGAGCCACTGCCACCTCCTGCCCACAGGCATCGGCTATTTCACGCTGCCATTCCTGGTTCACGCGGGAGCTGCCTTTGTCCATGCCTGCGAGTGGAATGTCCATGCTGTGGAGGCGCTGCGCCGGGCCCTGGCACTGAACGGGGTGCAGGATCGGTGCCGCATCCACCATGGGGACAGCCGGCAGGTGAGTGCCGCCGCCCAGCCGCGGGCCCCCATCCGCACAGGGCATGCCCTCACCTCCCCTCTCCTTCCAGCTGGAGCTGCGGGACACGGCGGACCGGGTGAACCTGGGGCTGATCCCCAGCTCGGAGGAAGGCTGGCCGGTGGCCTGCCGTGTCCTCAAGCAGGACACGGGTGGGGTTCTCCACATCCACCACAACGTAGAGACCCCCCCTGCGCCGCCCCCGGTCCTGCCAGCTGAGTGGGGATCTCCAGAGGCACAGCACCCAATAGAGGACACTGGGAAGGAGACAGTGGGGGCCAGGATCAGACCTGAGTGGCAGAAGTGGGCTGAAGCCACAGCAGTGCGGATCCAGAGACTGCTGGTGGAGCTGCACGGGCAGCCATGGCACACCAGAGTCCTGCACATCGAGGCAGTGAAGTCCTACGCACCCCACGTGCATCACCTCGTGCTGGACCTCGAGTGCCGGCCAGCACTGCCCACGTAGCTGTGAGTGGGCCCTGGCAGGGCTCCAGCTCCCATGGAACTGTGGTATCACAGCACCGGGAGCAGTGTCCTGCCACCAGCCTGGATGTGCCTTATGTCCCTTGCCCAGCAGTGCCTCCCTGGGCCCAGAGCACCCAGGGATGTGCTCCCTTGGGAGATCCCTCCAGGATCCAGGTCGAGGATGCAGTGAGATGGGACGGAGAACTACCTGTGTCCTGCCCTGCCTTTGCCAGTAGCTGCCCAGATCTTGGACATGTGGCACTTCCAGCCCTGTTTCCACACAGGAGAGAACCACAGGGCTGAGAAACCTCGGGTTCCTGCTGGGTTCATTTCAACAGGTCGGGGACAGGCTTTGTGCTTGTACGTACAAACGTGCCTTTTTATTGTACTGGAAACAGGGCTGTTTATCTTCGTTTCTTATATTTTTACAGAAATAAGGATGTTTCTCATTTCTCTTGTTGGTGTCCAGTTAAAATGTGAACACTGGTGCAGGCGTGGGGGCCTGGGAAGGCCGGGTCCCAGGGAGGTGTGTGGAGGGGCTCAGGGAGCAAAGCCTCTGCTGGCATCCTCTGCCTGCAAGCCCAAAGCCCTCTGAGTATCACGTATACTCCTGATGGAGAGAACCTCTGCCCCATGAGGGAGATCCCACTGGCCCTTTGGCATCCCCATGTTTTTTTCCGTGTCAGTGTCTCATCTCCTGTAGGGCTGGGAGCCTCTGGCTCTCCAATCCCGTGACAGGGAGCCCCGGGGTGCGGCCGAAAGTGTGAGAAGAGCTGCGTCCTCGCGTTTGCTCAGGGCTACTCCCAGCTGGCCTCCCCCGCAGGACCTGTGTGGTGAGAAGCCACCTCTCCACGGGTGTGAGCCCCACGCCCTGTCCTGCCGTGCGTGCTCGCAGTTCGGTGTTGCCTGTGCTGCCGTGGGCTGGGACGAGGGGCCCTGCCGGGACCATATCTCTTCCACGAAGGACAAGGGCAGAGGCTGGAGCCTTGCGGCGGGAGGACACCACGGCCGCGCGGCTGCGGTTTCAGTCCTTCTCCTTGGAGACCCCGGGAGGGACCCCGCAGTTCTGGTGGCGGTGGGCTCTGTGCTTTTCGCGATCAGCTGCGCTCCCAGCCAGGGCCGTGGGGCACCGGGCCCTGCCCAGGCGTACGGGAGAAAAGTGTCCCGCGGTGCAGGGGCCGCAGCTCAAGCGGGGAAAGGGTTGGAGGTCGCGGGCACCGCCCCCCGCACGGGCCGCCCCGTCGGTGTCGCAGGTGCAGCGGGCGCTGCTCCTTTAAGGCTCCGGTGCCGCCCTCTACCACCCCCCCGGCCCCACCTTCCCGCTCCGGGAGGCGCCGGCCGGAGCCGTGGCAGGTACCGGGAGGGTCGTGGGGACCGGGGGTCCCTCCGCTGAAGGGGGGTCGGGAGGTCCAGGGGGTTCCTCCGCGGACGGGGGACACCGGGGATCCCTCGGTTGGGGGAGGTGTCCGGGGATGCCGGGGGTCCCTCTATGGTTGGGGTGTCGAGCCGCGGTGTCCCGGAGCGGGGTCGGTCCCTGCCCTGGTGGCCCCGCTGCGAGCGCGGTGCCGGCGGCCCCGGACGCCCCCCGAGAGAGGAGCCCGGGGTCCGTCCCACCGCCTCCTGTTCCCCGGGGCGCGGCTGCGGGGACGGGAAGCTCCGTCCCGGCGGTGCCGGCAGTCCCAAGTGGGCAACGGGCTGAGCTGCAGGCCCCCGAGTAGGCGCCCCGGCTCCTTCGGGGCTGGAGCGGCCGCGGCCACCCGGGTCCCGGTGCCGGCGCCTCCGGACTGGATCCTGCCCCCGCCGTGGCTCCTGGAGCGTGTCCGCTCCCGGCGGCTCCGCGGGGCTCGGGCAGCTCCGGGCCCCGCTGCGTTCGTGGGAGCGGCAGCCCGGGGCGGCTCCTTCCTGCCGGGGCTGCCCGCGGGTGCTGGGCGTCAGCGCAGTCCCACGGAGCCGGCTGAGGTCACCGGGGCGGCGGGGCTGGCAGGCAGCCCGAGCCCAGCCCGGGGCAGGGCGGCGGAGGCGGCGGGCGGACCGCTGTCCTGGGTGCCGCGATCCGGTCCAGCCCCGGGAGCGGGCACGGAGCACCTCGCGGGGCGGGAGCCGCCGCGCTCAGCCGGTGGCATGTTCCTAGCACGGACACATCTGGCCAGGGCCAGCGATCCCGGGTGCAGCGATGTCGGAAGCCGTGGATCTGTCCTTCCTGTCGGACGTGGAGAGAGAATTGATCCTGCAAGTCTTGCAGCGCGATGAGGAGCTCCGTAAAGCAGAGGAGAGGAGGATCAGGTGTGGACGCGTCTGGGACTGGGCAGTACCTGGTTCCCTGCTTTGCTCTGGAAGTGGGTGGAGGAGTGAGAGTGCTGGTGATGGGGGTTCCCCGGGACGGCTCTGACAGCTCCCGGTGTCGCGTCTGAGCAGGCGCCTGAAGAATGAGCTGCTGGAGATACGGCGCAAGGGAGCCAAGCGGGGCAGCCAGCGCTACAGCGAGCGGACCTGCGCCCGCTGCCAGCAGAGCCTGGGCCGTGTCAGCCCCAAGGCCAACACGTGCCGGGGCTGCAACCACTTGGTGTGTCGGGACTGCCGTTCCTACAGCCCCAACAGCTCCTGGCGCTGCAAAGTGTGCACCAAAGAGGCGTGAGTACCTGGGGACAAGTGGCAGAGACCTTCTGCGTGTGCTTCCTGTTCCCTTCCTTTTCCCAGTCTCCCCAGCTAGATGCCCCATGGCTGGCCTTTGCTAGCCTAGCCACTGGTCCTCTTCACTGCAGGACAGCTGGCTCTGCTGTTGCTCCTGGAGGGGGTTCCCATGGTTGGGTGACGGTGAATTGAATCACACCCCAATCTTGTGTCTCCTCCATGCCCTCCTTGCTCCTTTCCTCCCTTTTATTTGATTCTAGCCTCCCCCTGTGCCTCTTGCACAGCTTCTGTTTCAAGCATCCCAGGTTTCCTCCTTCTTGGCCTCCCTTGTCCTGTAAAACCTATCGTGTTCCCATAATTGCTGGGGATGTAGCTGAGCCCATCAAGTGCCCAGTGAATTGTCTCTGCCCAGTCGCCTGCCAGTCATGCCCATTGTGCCTGTGTTCTCCTTGGGTGGTGGGAGCACCAAGGGTGGGTTGGGGTGCAAGGATCAGCCCCACACTTCCCCTGACTGCCCCTCGCCACCTCCCTGCCCTGCAGTGAGCTGAAGAAGACAACGGGTGACTGGTTCTATGACCAGAGGGTCAACCGCTTCGCCAACCACCTGGGCAGTGACATGGTGCGGCTGTCACTGCGGCACAGGCCGGCAGGTAGGGGTGCCACAGCAATGCCTCCTCCCACAGCCCAGCCACCTGGGATGCTCCCCCTTTCCCCAGTGTGTTTGAACAGTGTGGAGTTGGATGGGAGCAGCTCCTGCTTCAGGCAATGGGCTTGGAGCAGGGGTCCTCCTGATGCCTCTCTCCTTCCAGCCAGCAAAAGAGAGACTGTGGGACAAACCCTCCTCCAGAAAGCTCAGCTTGGTGAGCCCAAAAGTTCCTCTGCAGCTCGGCAGCCAAGCCCCCCTGCACCCCGAGAGGGGTCCAGGTAAGAATCCCTGCTGTCCCCCCTGCTCCAGGCACCAGCCCTCATCTGCTGCGGGGATGGGAGCGATGCTGCCACCCCGCTTGGATTATTGATGGCGCAGAAGCTCTCTCAGACCAACCTCCTTGCCAAACAGGACATACCTGTGGTTTTGTTTGTCTGCAGTTTGTTTCCAGATGCCTCAGACCCTCGGGATGGCAAAAGTGACACAGAGTCCATGGAAAACATGAGCCTGGATGGCTACAGATCTAGTCCTGGTGATGGGGGGGGCAGGTGAGGGTCTCCTCAGGTGGGTTGTCCTTGGCAAGACTGGCTGGCAAAGGATGAGGACTTTCATCTGAAGTGTGTTTTTCTTGGTCTAGTGAGGGGGAGCTAGCTCCTCTGGCTAGGCTGAAACTTGTCCCTGGGCAGGCATGTCCTCTGCTCCCAGGCTGGTGTGCTATAGGGAGCTTATGTGCCTCCAGGGAGCCTGTGAGGAGATGATACTTTCCAGCCAGTACTTGCTCTCCCAGCTGGGCTCGTGGCCTGGGACAGATCTTTCTGTGTCCTCTGCAGAAGTAACTCCCTGGAGAGAACCATCCCTGGAAAACAGGTTGCTGCACCGGCAGGACCTGCTGCCTCCAGCCTGACCCTCCCTCTCCGCTCCAAAAACACGTACTCTGACGGACGGGTGCGTGACGCTGCTCCAGCAGGCCCAGCCCTGTCCTGGGGCATGGGGCTGGGAGTCCCGTGGGGTGCCCAGCCCTGCCCTGCTCTGAGGGAACTCTCCTCCCCAGGATGCCACTGCAGGGACCCGCAGCAGCGCCTTGGTGGATGAGCATGAAACGATATTCAAGAAGAACCCCCGGCGGGTGGTGAGGCCTGCAGGTGAGAGCTGCAGGGGTGCAGGGGGTTTGGGTGCTGACATGGCCAGGGTGGGCAGCTGCTTCTCCTTGGGCTGAGGTGGGCTTTTGGTGCAGGTGGGAGAGGGTGGGGCAGTCCCTTGCTTGAGAGAACAGCAGGGCTCTGCTAGTCTTGCTCCGTGCTGTTGCCTCCTGCTCACCACCTCTCATGCAGACTACACCAAGTCGGTGATCGACCTGCGTCCCGAGGACTTCATGGGGGATGGTGGATCTTTGGGGGACAGGAGCAAGTCGGTCCCTGGCCTCAACACGGAGCTGGTGAGACCCTCGGAGTGCTGTGGTGGAGGAGCCGGATATCCAGCCAGCTGTGCCCTGCTGCTCCACACACAGTTGGCTTGTCTCCCTCCTTGCAGGAGGAGGAGGAGGAGGACATTGATAACCTGGTGGAGATCCATCGGCAGCGGGTGGCCCGGGGCAGCATGCGCAGCGGCACCTCCTCGGTGAGTCCCCGTGGTGTGGCTGTGCTCTGCTCTGCTGCAGAGAGGAATGATGGAGAAAGGCTGTGCCAGTGGGTTAGGTGGGATAAAGGCAGGGTGGTGCAGAGGCAAAAACGTGAGGCATGGCGGTTTCTTTCCCTTGAAGGGAATTGAAATGCAGAGACCCATCTCTCTTCTGGGGAACCTCCATGGGGGTGGGAGTCACTCAGTGGCCATCCCCAGCCACAGAGGGTGAGAGAGGCTGTGTGGAGGAGGCACATGAGGTAGCCTTGCTGGGGATGAAGAGGGGCCACCAAGTGATGCTGTGCCAGCTCAGCCCCGCCATGTCTTCCAGAGCACGCTGGGGAGCATGGTCAGCATTTACAGCGAGGCCGGCGACTTTGGCAGCGTGGCAGTCACTGGAGGCATCTCCTTCTCCCTGAGCTACGAGCAGAAGACACAGACCTTGTTCATCCACGTGAAGGAGTGTCGCCAGCTGGCCTATGGGGACGAGGGCAGGAAGCGCTCCAACCCGTGAGAGCTGGGGGAGTGGTGGCTGCTGGCACCACTGGTGGTGCCCACCTGGGTTGTGGGGTGTCTGCCAGAGATGGGAGCTGTAAGTGGGGGGTCTTGGCAAGGCAAGGAGTCTGGGGTTGCCCTGGGGAGCTCGGGGGGGGTTAACTGTGGGGAGACCTTGGTGAAGTGCTGCCTGCTCCTCCCTGCAGGTATGTGAAGACCTATCTCCTGCCTGACAAATCCCGGCAGGGGAAACGCAAGACAACAATCAAACGCAACACCATCAACCCCCTGTACAATGAGCTGCTAAAGGTGAGCAGGGATGGATTGGGGTGCAGGTACTCAGTCCAGGGGATGCTGCTGGAACAAGCCAATGGTGGGTTGGGCTCCTAACCCTGAGGCAGAGAATCTACAGAGAACCTGTGCCCAGAGACTGCGTCCTGAAAGCTGGAAAGACTTAATCCCAGACTGGGTCACTGCTCTGGTCTGTCCGTGATGTCAAATCCCGGTGCCCTGGTGGAGTGGAGGCACAGCTGCAGATGTAAACAGTCACAGGACATGTCCCTGGTTCCTCTGGCATTCCCCAGGGGCATCCTGCTTACTCTGGGTATTTCCTTCCGTGGCAAGGGCTTCCAGGCCACTGGAAACAGGTTATGTTGGTGGGAGGGCAGCACAGCTGCAGAGGCAGAAATAAGGCAGCTCTGGGCCCCAGGGCAGAACAACTTTTCACTGTCCTGCTGCAGCCACTTTAGGGTGGTGCGACTGGCTGACTCTGTCCCCAAGCCTGGCAGTGCCTTGCTGAGGCCAGGCTCACTTGGACAGGAGGAAGTGGGAGCTGTGGTTTGGTTTTTAGGCTCTCACAGAGAGGTTTACTAAGGTCTTATGCTCTGCCCCCCGAGGCTCTGTGGGCTGGCAGAGCTCTGCTTGCTGTGGGACGGGTGGACAGATGCCATGAATCCTGGCTCTGAGGTCTATCTGTCTGGAGAGCGTTGGCTCCTGCACCACTGCTCCAGGACTCTGAGATTTCAGCAGGCATGGAAAGAAGAACAGACTTCTGTGCACATCCGTTGCTCCTCAAACCTTTTTCCTCTCCTGATCAAGAGCTGTGGCTGATGGTGTTTGCCAAGCCTGTCCCTGCCTGCTGCTGGTTGCTCACCAGGGGTCTTCCCGTCTTCCTCCCTAGTACGAGATTAGCAAGTCCCTCCTGCTCACGAGGACACTGCAGTTCTCGGTGTGGCACCACGATCGCTTTGGCCGCAACACGTTCCTGGGGGAGGCGGAGGTCCCACTGGATGCCTGGAACTTTGACAGCCACCTGGAGGAGTTCCTGCCCCTGCATGGCAAGGTGAGCTGTCAAAAGGCTCGTGCCGTATCAAATCTTTGGAGAAGTGAACAGCCCAGAAGCAGACAGCAGTGCTATCATAAAAAAGGGCCTCGAGCCTCGCTTCCCACCTCTTCCTCAGGTGGTTGAGCCTAAATAAGCTCCCAAAGGAGCTGGGGTGATCCGGTGATGCTGGGGAGGGTTTGCAGGCACTTGAGCCGGCTCAGCCACATCTAGGAGAAGCCAAGCCCTCTATCCTGTCTGCCGTGGCCTCTCTGCAGTGTTTGGTAAGTCTCATGTCCTTTGCAGGCTGGGGCAGATGCTGCTGGTCTCCACCAGTACAAGGGAGAGTTGGTTGTCTCCATGAAGTACATCCCATCTGTCAAGCACCCTGGGGCTGGGAATGGCAGGAAAGGTGAGTGCTGCAGCTCCAGGTTGTCTGTGTAGCCTTGCAGGATCTGCTTGTGGCCACACGATCTGGCTCTGCTTGGGCTTCTTGGGTGGTGTCACTGCAGCCTTCTCCAACACCTGCAAGGCTGCTCTGGGTCAGGGCAGACCTGGCTGTCCTCAGGCTGGCTGAGCCATGCCAGTGCTTCCTTGGGGCTGGACCAGGCTGGATCTGCATGAAGCAATTGTCCACCTTCACCTCAGCAGGCACGGCCAGTACGGGAGAAGGCAAGAGGAAATGGCATCCCAGCCTCATCCCTGCCCCTGGGATGAAGGGTGTTCAGCAGAAGCTTTCCAGAAGTTTTTGTGGTGGTGGAAATTGAAGTTGATTAATTGGTGTGTTGGGTTTTTTCCAGGCAAAACAGGGGAAGGTGGTGAGATCCAGGTCTGGATCAAAGAAGCCAAGAACCTCACAGCTGCCAAATCTGGGGGGACCTCAGACAGTTTTGTCAAGGGGTGAGTGAGGGTCCTGGGTGGGCGAGCAATGAAGGCACTGTCCTCCCTGGCTATATTTCCAATGCTGTTGTGGGCTCCTGGCAGCAGGGTCTCTCCATTAGCTGCCCTGCCCTGCCTGTGTCAGTACCGAGTCACCATCTGACCAGAGACAAGGTGCTCCTGGTAGCAGGTGCTCTCCTGGATTTTGGCTAGTTGAGAGGTTGTGGTGGAAGGCTCTGTGCAGGGCAGGGCTCCAGTTGCCATCCAATCATCTTCCCAAAGGTCACCATGCTATGGGGCAGCATGACTAGGGGCGAGGAGGCTCCAGTCTTTGCCCTCCCCAGACCACTTCCAGTCTGCTGAGTGACTTTTCAGGAGGCAGGGAGAGACCACCCCTTTCAGGGTGTCATAGTCCTTCCTGAGCCACGTCAGGAAAGGTGGAAAGAGCAGCTCCAGGCCAGGTCCTGGGGTGCTGAGGTGCTCCAGAGCAGAAGGCAGTTACCCATGTGCTGCTAACCCAAGGGATTGCTTCCCCCAGCTACCTCCTACCACACAAAAACAAAGCCTCCAAGAGGAAGACACCTGTGGTGAAGAAGACCCTGAACCCTCATTACAACCACACCTTTGTCTACAACGGTGTCAACCCCGAGGACCTGCAACACATCTGCCTGGAGCTGACAGTCTGGGACCGGGAGCCACTGTCCAGCAACGACTTCCTTGGGGGTGTCCGTCTGGGGGTGGGCAATGGTGAGGAGCCCTGTGGTCCCATCAGACCCTGGGGACAAGCAGCCTTTCTTGGGGCTGCTGCACTGTGAGCAGGAACCTGCTCTGGCAGTGACTTCTGCCCACTTCCATCCCTTCTCCCAGGCATGAGCAACGGGCAGGCTGTGGACTGGATGGACTCCATGGGCGAGGAGCTGAACCTGTGGCAGAAGATGTGCCAGTATCCAGGCTCGTGGGCAGAGGGGACGCTCCAGCTCCGCTCCACCATGGCCAAGCTGAGGCCATAGGCTGTGGCACCAGCACAGGATTCAACTGAGGGCTGGCACCACTGCTCCGGAGCCACACTCTCTGCAGGGCTTGGTAGGGCTGCCAAACGTGGGTTGTATCATTATTTTTTTTTCTTTAATAAACATGACCTTCTCTAAACAGGCTTGGGCAGAAAGTCTTCTTGGCCTAGCTTCATTTGAAGGCTTTTCCTTTTGTCATAAGCCTAGCACCAGATTTCAGGCTGAACTAAAGTCCTTGTGGACCCTCCCTTTCCCCCCCCAGGCAAAATGCTTTGAAATGTCATTGGGTTTCTATTTCTTTCCATTCTTCTTCCTCCCACCCTTCCTGTTTCACAGTCTGCTCCCTCCCTGTCCTCTCCACCCACCTCGCTGTGCACAGCCCAGCCCCAGCCCCAGCCCTGGCTGCAGGGACCAGGATAGAACCATGTGGGATCAGCTTGGGGGGCCAGGGGTCAGGGACCCCAGGAAACATTTGTTTTCCAGGCCTCTCAGCAACACATCTGCCAGCATAGACTTTTTATACAAATTTATTTATTTCAAGTTAATATTCTACTGCCAAAGTAGTTCCCAGGAAGGGTGCCCTGTGGGTGGTGGAAGGGGGAAGCAAGTGGCAGGGGGGAGGGCGAGCCCTCGGGATGGGCTGCATTCCTGGCTGGCTGCCACAGGCTCTGCTGAATGTGGGGCCATTTGCTTTTAATAAGGGCTTTCTGGATGGGAGGGTTGTGCACAGGGTGAGGGTGGCCATGGGGAGGCTAAAGCTGCTGTGTTAGAGGCTGTTGCAGTGCTGCCCTGCCTGCTCTCTGCTCTGGCTCTACATCTTCCCCCTGTCCTGGGATTTGAGCAGGAGCGCTCCAGTGTCTCCTGCAATGGTCCTGGCCAAGCTGAGCCATCCCACTCCTCAGCCAGAGAGCTCCTGGCTGCTGGGCAGTGGGGACGCTGCTGGCACACGGCCCCTGTCCTCATCCCTATTCACCTCCCTATGCCAGAACAGTCAGAGAGGGGCTCCCCTTCCCTGGGGGTCCTTGGCACCCTGTTTCTCCTCTATGGTGGGCGACTAGAAAAGCAGAAAGGAAGGTGTCCATCCTCTGAGGGCAGTGGAGCGGGGGGGGTTCTCCCTGGTGCTGTCTCACTCGCAGGGGTCCCCGCTCTGTGCCCGCCGAGCCGCCTCCCGCTCGCCCAGCAGGTACGTGTCGATGAAGACGAAGAGCTCGTCGGGGCTGACGGGGGCGATGTAGCGCTCGCGGTCAGTGCCCGCCTTGTCCAACAGCACCGCGTTGAAGTGGGAGCGGGTGAGGTGCAGGAACTGCCTGGGGGCGCAGGAGGGGTCACCACTCAGGGCTGAGGGGTTACACTGAGGGCTGAGCCTGCCCACTTCAGGTCCTCCTGAACTGGGGGCTCCCACTTCTTCCTTGGGGCTGTGAGCAGTGTGGGGCTCTGGTGATGCTGCATTCAGACTTGCTGGGGGGTCCTCCCATTGCATAAATCCCTCCGGTGCAGGAGGAAGGGACTATCCATGAATCCAACTGCAACCTCATGCTCTGCCATCCCCGGAGGTGTCCCCATCCCCAGAGGTGTCCCCATCCCCGGTCCCCTTGCACAGGCACCTGGCTCTGCAGGAGAGCCTCCCATCTGCCCTACCTGAGCTCCTGGATGATGCCAAGGGACAGCTGGTGCTCCCGGATGCGTCCCACCTCGTGTGGGGGCTGCCCCACCAGCTCAATGATGGTGACATGGCGCAGGTCCAGCCCACAGGTGGCTTGCTGTGGAGGAGGGGGGCAGTGAGGGTGTGATGGAGGTGGAGGTAGGGAGGGGAGCAGCAGGAGGTTCTCCTCACCTGCAGCATGGAGATCTGCATCTTGTAGTAGCGGTTAGAGGGGTCAGGGGCCGAGATGACAAAGAGGCGGCGTTTCTCATTGAACTGATCCAGCAGGCTGGCGGCTGAGTTCACAGCAGTGTTGATCTGCATGGCTGTCGCAAGACAAGGGTGTGGGGAGGTGCCATTGTGCCCCCCATCACCCCTTTGCCCTGCTGGGCAGCATCTTCTTGAACTGCCAGGCATCACCATGGGCAAGTCCTGCCCTTCCCACACCACTTACGTGTGCAGAGGGGCTGGGAGCCCGTCCACTGCTGGGTGGACTGGCAGACCCGCAGAGAGGTGCCCTGGCGTTCATAGCCCCCATCACACAGGTACTCGCAGGTGGCACCGTAGTTGTTGCCGTCGGAGGTGCAGGAGATGTACCCGTTCTGCGGAGGCTTCAGAACAGGGCAGCGCCTCACTGCGAAGAGGGGAGCTGGGTGAGGGCTGGGGGTGATGGAGCACAGCCCCAGCCGTGGCGTGTGGAGCCTGGAGCCATGGGAGAGACAGCTGGGAGCCCCAGGGTAGCCCACTTGCCTTGGACACGGACACTGAACTTGCAGCTGGCTCGGTTGTACGCCTGGTCGTGGGCGGTGTAGCGGATCACATGCTCTCCTTCGGGAATTCAGAGCCTGGCTCTGGGCCCCGCAGCATCACCCTGAACCCAGCAGACGGGTTTCTCCATCAGGGCCCCATAGCCTCCAGCCCTTGCTGGCAGTGCCTGCGGCACCTCCACCCTCACCTCTTGATGACACCGTCAGCAGAGTCCTTCACGCGAGGAGGGTCCCAGTAGACAGTCGCAGTCAGCTTGCCTGGCTCGGCTATCCGCTCCCGGGAGTCCGGACAGCGGATCTTGGGAGGCTCCAGGTCTGCCCACAGGGAGGATAGGGTGTTGGGGAACCTGTGGATGCTGGAGCTGGGCTATAAGACTCGGGCACCAACCCCAGCACTGAACCACCACAGGGATGCTGCACATAGCCAGGTGCCCTGGAGCCATTGGGAACTGCTGTAAAGCCAGTGCTGGGTGCCCCAGTCCTGGGCTGGTGCCTGCACTTTGGGGCTAATGGCACCATGAGGAGCAGAGGGACCAGCGGTCCCATGATGGGGAGGTGTAAGAGCTAGCACCTGGCAATACCCATTTTGGATGTGGGGTGACACCTGCAGACACCCCAGGGACGGAGGTGTGCCCCAGAATCTTGGGTTGAAAATTTACCTACACAGATTGGCTCGGTCCCACTCCAGCGCCCATCCTCCATGCAGATGCGGCTCCGGTCGCCCTCCAGCTGGTAGCCAGGCAGGCAGGTGTAGTCACAGCGGGAATCCATCTGCACTCCAGCTGAGCACACGTAGGAGCCCCGCAGCACTGCTGGCAGCACGTGGCACCGGATTTCTGGAATGGAGAGAGCAAAGAGGGGAAGGAAGTGGCAGCCAGCCATGTGAGTGGGCAGAGCATCCAGGACTGGCCTCTGGGGGAGCCCGTGGAGGCTCTGGCAAGGCAAGAGCTGGGCACACTCACGTCGGCAGTACGCCATCCCGGACCAGTGGCGGTTGTGCAGGCACTGGACCACACTGGAACCCACCAGCCGGTACCCACGGGTGCAGCTCAGCTCGCAGCGTGTCCCCAGGCTGCTGCGGTAGGAGCTGCCCCGGGGTGAGTAGCAGGTGGCATCTCCACGGTGGATGTTGAGTGTGGCGCACCACTGGGGCACTGTGGGAGAGGAGGAAGGTGAGGGAGACTCCCACTGTGCCTCAGTTTCCCCATGAGGACCCAAAGGACTGGTTGGGTGCTGTTACCTCGACGGTAATCCAGGGCAGGTTCAGCGGGGGTTTCTTCTGCATACACCTCATTGGTGTGACTCTCCGTGTAATAGCCAGACCCTAGGGAGGAGGAAAGAGATGGGGGCTGTGGGGTGGTTCATGGCTGCAAAGCATCCCCAACAAACAATCCCATCTCCCGGCAGACCCTGTCCTGTATCCTTGGGGCTGCTGTCAAGGGTTAAGCCAGGCTGACTGAGAGCACAGTCCCCAGTGACATGGTTTGTGCTGGCACCAGCCACAGACTAAACAGTGGCAGAAGCAACTGTGGTTATGGCAGGAAACGGGTGCTGGCACGGAGTGGGCTGGCACCGACCCCCAGCTTCGTGCTGCTGGGAAGTCCTTCCACACGCTCCCATGGCACCGTTCCTGCCACGGGGTATCCCAAGGGAAGGAAGAAAGCTGTTCTCTCCTGCCCATCCCCTGGTCAAACGAGGGATGAGAAGCACGCTGCCCAGCCCCCTCCAGGGGGCTGGAGGGGATGCAATCCCTTGTCTGTGCTTCAAGGAAGGATGAAGCTACTGGAGAAGCTTGGCCGGAGCTGCTGGCCCCAAGCCATCCACGCTGCGCAGAGGGGCCCCCCAGAGGGGATGAAGACAGCCTTGCGCCATCCTTGCGGGCCACCCTCTAGCCCACACTGTGTCTTCATGGGCAAGGGACCCGCCAGTGGGGAGAGAACCGTTCAGGGGGAGAGGGCTGACTTCCTTCCCCGCGGCCCCTCGGCGCCTCGGCCGGCCGCGGCATTCCCGAGCACTGAGCTCACGTTTCCGCCGCGTTTCCTCTGGCCCCCGCCAGCGCTGCCCCCTCCTCTCCGCCAGCCCACCCCACCACGCTCCCCCTCTGGCATGGCGGGGATGCTCAGCCTCGAAAGAACCCCAGGAGAAGCGGCAGCCCCGCTGTGGCTGCACCCAATCATCTCCTCTTTCTCCCCGTTTTGTGTTTTGGGAAGGGGATATCCGCCGGGACCAATCCAAGCAGCAGCCCTGCCGTCACGGGGAAGAAGCTCCATTACAAATCTTTCAGACGCGAACTTTACTACAGAGTGACTCTCCACTGCTTCTCACAAGTCGCCCACTCACTGTTCACAAGCCTTTTGTCCTGATGCCTTTTCCACACTGCGATGGTGCCCTGGAGAGTGGAGGAGCAGGGGGTGAGCACAGGGATGGTACCCACGGGGCTAGCCGTGGGGATGTGTTGGTGACCTGGTGAGAAGGGTTGTTTCCCAGGGGCATACGCCGAGCTCTCCACCGGGGCCCTGGGGGCGGCGTGCACTGTGTCCCCACAGGCAAATGTGCCATTTTTATGGAGGCATTACCTTTTCCTTCTCGCATGTGGTCAGCTCACAGCCCCAGCTGCACCGGGCAGGAGCATCCCCAACCAGGTGTGCTGGCACCATGGCCAGGAGAGGGGATGAAAGCAGGGAAGGAGGAAACTGCCCCAAACAAGGCTTGCAATCCTTGAAACAGCTGCCCAGCCGTGGGGCGGTTGGGACTGAGTGCTCCTTCCAGGCAAACATCTGCTGGCCGATGGCTCCCGTGGGAGCAGAGAGTAAAGGAGAAGCTGTGCTCCTGCAAGCAAGGGTGTGATGGAGAGGCTGGTTTTCTGCTCCTCTCTGGATGCCTCCCAGCACCCACTTTGTTCCTCCTTGCACCCCTCAGCGCACCCCTGTAAGCACCCAGTACCCCCAGGCACAGATGCTCTCCCGGCATTGCTCCAGGCACGCTCCCTCCGCCCCCAGCACGAGCCCCCGACGCGAGAGAGACCCTGCAGGCTGCCATGCCCGGGAGCCCCGCTGTGCCCACACTCACCTTCGTGCCACGTGGATGACACCAGCCTGGCAAGGACAACCAGCAGGACGGGGGCCGCCTCCTGCGCCATGCTGGGGGTCGGGGGTTCGGGCAGCCCACCTGCCGTGCTGGGTCCAGGGGCAGCCGCGAGCCCTGACGAGGATGGAGAGGGGCTGGAAGCAGGACGACGGCCCCCTGCGTCGCTTGGTCACCGCACAGACGCCTGTCTCTCCTGCCTGGACGTGCTGCTGGTGCTGAGCAAACTTACTTTCCCCCTTGGCTGCCCGTCCCAAACATTCAAAAGCCGTGAGTCAGGCCCAAAATGATGAGATTGTAAAAAATTACAAGTCCTAGGATCGCCTGTTTTCTAATGCTCCTCCTGCTTTTCCGAGGCTTTAAAAAGTTGTAAGAGGTTTTTCTTTGCAAGCAGAAGAGCCAGGAGTCTGTTTAAACACAAGAGAGAGCCAAGCCGAGCCTCTGTCAGCCCTGCCGGGCTCTGGGAAAGTGTGTGTGTGTGGGGGGGGGGTGGGGGACACACAAGTACAAAACCGCAGGAGCCAGGACCCTTTTCCCACCTCTTTCCAGGAGGGAGGGGGAAACTCTGCTGCAGACGGCGGGCTCTGAAACTGCTCATGAGGCAAGCACTCCCAGCTGGGGTCTGTTTTCCAGCTGAAGTTCAGCCCTCGCGAGACAGAGGTAACAAATTGCCTTCGATAGGACCCACCGTTCCACATCCTCCGGGGTTGGGGGTCGGAGCGGAGCTGGAGCCAACTGGGATTTGGGCTCTGGAACACGGGACTGAGTAAGGAAAAACGAGGGATGAGCCTGGCACAGACAGGTAGGAGCACTGGCGTGGGGTGGTGAGGGGGGAGGACGTACTGCCTCAATGGGCTAATTATGTGTCAGCCAGGCCAGTGAGCGCACTGATTAATAACGCTGTCCTGGGCAGGAGAGGGCTGCCGGGAGGGGCTGCTGCTGCCGACTGTGGGGAGCCCACACCCCCCTGCAGCCTGGGGACATCTCCGGGAGGTGATGGGGATGTTCACCCCACGAAGGGCAGGAAGCCCGCCGCTTGGTGGCACGGTGGTACTGCCATGTGCTGGGCCACAAGGTGGCTCTCCTGTTGGACACCTGGTCAGGAGGGGGCTCCCTCTGGGGTTGCGGCTGCATCGGCGGCCGCTGGGGCAGGAGAGCAGGAACTGGCTGGCACCGAGCAGGAGGTGGAACGGGGAAGGCGAAGGGTGTCACGGGGAGGCAGGAAATGGTGGTATGGGTCGGGCAGGGGGTGGCAGGGGTGGCACGGGGCGGGTAGGCGGCGGCACGGTGCAGGCGGTGGCATCGGACAGGGCATGGCAGGGAACAGGCAGGGGGCGACACCGGACAGGGCGTTGCACCGGAGAGGTAACACGGGACAGGCACCGGACAGGGGATGGCAGGAAACAGGCGAGGGGTGACACCGGACAGAGGTCGGCACTGGAAAGGGGGTGACACGGGCCAGGCAGCGGGCGGCACCGGGCAGGGAAAGGCAGGAAACAGGCAGGGAGTGACAGGGGGCAGGCAGAGGGTGGCACCAGACAGGGGGTGACAGCGGTATCCCGACGGGGAGGAGCTCCACTCTTCCGACGTGCCCCGCCCTTTCCGTGAGCTCTCGGGCCCCTCCGGAGGGTGGGGCGGGGCCGGCCCCGCCCAGGGGCGTGTCCTGGGCGTGTCCCGGGCGTGTCCCCGCGGCCCCGCCCGGCCCCGCTCCCGGCAGTCGCGCCGTGTCGGCCATGGCGTCCCCGTCGCGGCGGCTGCAGACGAAGCCGGTGATCACCTGCCTCAAGAGCGTCCTGCTCACCTACACCTTCATCTTCTGGGTGAGCGCCCACCCCGCCCCGCCCAACCCCCCGCGACGAGTCGCGGCCGCGCCGCTCTGTCGTGACAGTCGGTAGCCACGGCAGCTTTCCCCTTTCCTCAGGTGTCGGGCATTGTGCTGCTGGCCGTGGGCGTCTGGGGCAGGGTGAGCCTGGCCGTCTACTTCTCCCTGCTGGACGAGAAGGCCACCAATGTCCCCTTCGTCCTGGTGGGCGCTGGCACCGTCGTTGTCCTCCTGGGCACCTTTGGCTGCTTTGCCACCTGCCGCGGCAGCACCTGGATGCTCAAGCTGGTGGGTGGTCCCGAACAGGGCGTGATGGGGTCCCATCCTCTCCTAATCCATCCTGACCTGCCCTGATCCATCCCGAAACGTCCCAGCCTTCCCAACCCTATCCCTATCCCATCCCATACCAACTTGTCCTGTTCAAACCCCATCCCTACGAAATCCAATCCTGTTCCAACCCCTCCTGTTCCAGCCCCGTCCCGTCCCATCCTTCCCTGTTCTGTCCCATCCTTCCTTGTTCTGTCCCATCCTGCCCTGTTCCGTCCCATCCTGCCCCGTTCCGTCCCATCCTGCCCCGTTCCGTCCCATCCTGCCCCGTTCTGTCCCATCCTATGCCATCCTGTGCCGTCTTACCCCATCCCATCCCATCCCATCCCGTCCTATCCCATCCTATCCACCCCCTCCCATCCCACCCTTTCTGCCCACAGTATGCCATGCTCCTGTCCCTCATCTTCCTCATCGTCCTGGTGGCCGCCGTCGTGGGTTTTGTCTTCAGGCACGAGGTGAGTCTGGGTGGCCACTGCCATCTCGGAGTGAGTTTGATGCTGGTTTTAACCCTAGTGCAGTTGCAGGTGTCGCTGGAGGGACAGGGGTGCTGCTGGAGAGTGGTGCTTAACTTAGTAGAAATGGTATTAAAACAGCCCAAAGATCTTGGTCCCTGTAAGGACCCAGAAGGATGAGCCTAGGTCGGGGTCAGCCCAATGCAGCACACTGCCCCTCCACCAGAACAGGCAGAGTAGCCCTGGACTGTAATTTCTGCCTCTGATCTATCTTCTGCAGTAATTTCAGTAATTAAAGCTCCTCAGAGGGTTCCTGCACCACAGAGCAGCCTGCTTGGGGGGAGTTGGCACTGCGCAGGTTCTTGTTATTACATGCAGCATCCCTGCTGCCATGGTGCATCCAGCTGCCCTTTAATACAGCCTCTAATTGCCTGGTGGCTGGGAAGTGTCTGCTGGCCACAGCCAGAGTCATTCCTGCCATCACGGAGTGGTGACTAATGCGGGGACTTGGTCCTGGAGCGTGGGAGGGGACAGCACCACCACTGAGACCTTTCTCCTGCAGATTAAGACAAACTTTGAGAGTAACCTGAACCTGGCCTTGGAGAACTACAACGTGACTGCAGATCGGCACAGCGAGGCCGTCGACACCATCCAGAGGACAGTGAGTACTCCAGGCTGGCGTCTGGCTGGCATAAGGTGGGAATGCTCCCCTCACCCCAGGGTCTCCCCATGGCATCAGTGTCCCTGTCATATGTGCACCATCTCACAGATGCTGGATGAGATCCTGCAGTTCTTGGAGAAGCAAGGGCTGGGGACCCATGGGAGTGATGGTGGGACTAGGGAGTCAGTACCCTGGTGTGACCATGCTCCCCAAAATGTGCTTCCACCTCCAGCTGCACTGCTGTGGGGTGCAGAACTACTCGGACTGGGAGAGGACTGAATACTTCAGCCAGAAGGGCATCCCCCAGAGCTGTTGCAAGAGACCAAGTGACTGCTCGGAGAAAGATCTGAAAGACCCAAACAAGGCCAAGCTGAAAGTGTTTGTGGATGTAAGTTATGCTCAGAAAAATCTCCCTGCCAGTCCTAGAGGCAGGGATGGGTGTGTGGAGAAGGGCTAGTTTGTCCCTGGGAGGCTTGAAAGGAGAACTGCTCTATTAGTGCAGCTGGTCTGTGGCCGAGAGACTCCTCAGGAGTGCAGGCAGGGGAAGGGTCTGGAGTCCTCTCTGCTGTCTCTGGTCTCCCCACTCCTTTCTTGGAAGTCAGGGACCAGCTGGACCCAAGCATTGGCACTTGGGGCTGTGTGTTTTGGAGAACAGGTGAGTAAGGAAGTAGTTTCCCAGTAAAGTTTATTTCGGTAGTGCTGACACCTCCCATTGGTGCAAAGTCCTGACCTGGTGGTGAGCACAGGTGACCTCATCCGGCAGAGATGGTTGGATGATGCAAGGCACATTGCTCTGATGAGTCACCTTGTTCAACATAGTGCTCTTGCTGGGAGCAGCTCAAGGGCAGTGTCCCCTTGATAAAGTGTCTGGGCTGGGAGTCTGTCTGAGGCAACACTGATAGGGAAATTGCTTTGCTGAGGTCGGGCAGCAGAGGGACAGCCAGAACCCCAATCTGCCTGCACAGGAGCATCTTCCCCTGGAGCTGCTGGTGCTCTGGGGAGGTGCTGCTTTGTTCTTCTGGGAGTGAAAAGCACTGGACCCATATGCTTGCTTTCCCTCCTCTGCAGGGTTGTTTTTTCCTGGTAACGTCAACAATGGAGTCCAAAATGAGTATTGTGGCTGGAATCTCCTTTGGCATCGCGTGTTTCCAGGTAAATCTCCCTTTCCTGGCTCGGGAGAAGTGCAGAGTGAAGCTAGTGTGTCTCTGGAGGTATTTAATTTCAGTTCAAAGTCTGATCTGTACAAAAGGCACGGCCGGTTTCAGCCCGGGAGGAGCAGCTATTCCGCAGATTCCCCTTGGGTTTAATCTCACCACTGTGCAGGCTCCAGTCTCTTGCACTCAGGGCTGAAGCAGCAATTCTCTTTCCATGAGCCTAAGATGTTAGGGAAGAGCCTCCATCTGAAACCACTGACTTAGGGAAAACCAGAGACAAACAAACTCCCCGTGCCTGCTCTTGGCAGGGATCAAATCTGAGCCCTTTCTTTTCATACCCACCAACCTTTCCTGTTATCAGGGAGGTGTTTTGGCATTGCTTCTGTGTGACAGGGTCCCTGCGAATACCTGTGGAGCACAACACTTGTGCTGGTGGCTGACACCCCACGTGCCACCCTACCCTGCCATTGTTTCCCCTCCCTCCCACTCCCCAATCTCTCCTTTGTCCTGCAGGACACTTCCTGCAGGAGCCGCAGCAGCAGCACGCTCGCCAGCCCCTGCTCCGGCAGGCGTTATCCCGGCAGGAAATGAGAGGCCCCTGCCCCCAGCTCCGCCAGGCTGGGTGTTGGGCACGCTGACGCTGCGGTGGGGTTTCCCAAGGTGCCCAGGGTTTTCCAGTGCACCGCTGCGGGAGCTGCAGGATGTGCAACTCTCGGCACCAAGCGCCTGGCCTTGGCTTTGGAGGGGCTTGAATTCACCCTCCCCTTGACCCAGCACACAGAGGCCATAACATGAGCACTGCTGGCCAGCACCACTGGCTGCCGGTGCTGGCGTGGGGAGAAGGAACCCTGCCAAGATCCTCTGCTGTAATGAGTGCGTTGCCGTGTGTTTTCCGTACCGGATGGACTGAACTGGGGGAGAGGCATGGGCTGACAGCTCGTGCTACCAAGTGCTTCGAGAGAGCCTGGGAGATGCAGCTGCTCTGCTGTGCCCAGCCACTCGCCCCATGCTCCTCCTTGGTTGAGCTGTGCTTGCTGTGGGGCCACTGAGATGTGGCTGACACACAAATGGTGAACTCACACACACTCCCAGCTGCAAAAGTATCCAGGCTTGGGAATTATGACCAGTTCCTACCTTTTATTGCTCCTTCAGCAAGCCTTGCTGGCTGTGTGGCTGACAGGGACTCATTGTGCTGATGTGCCTCCAACTCCACTTGTGGAGGCCAGGCTTGTGCAGGACCTGTCCCTGAATGTCTGCACGGGTGCTGGGGGGCTGTGTTGTGATAACAGAGCATGTTGTGGTAACAGTACCGTGTCCTTCAGATGCTGATGTGAGAACAGCAGCCTTGCTTCCCCCCTGCCCTTGTAAGAGGAAGAGGTACTGCCATTCTCTGGTGGCTGTGTAATTGGCTGTGACTCTCCTGATATCTGTGTAATCTCCACAATTACCATAAAACAGTAGATGCTTCATGAAGCAAAATGTAGCAGGTTTGGATGTGGAATGTCTCTTGTGAGGAGCTTGTTTGGCTGGTGCCTGCCAGGATCCTCTGCTTCAGCCACTTTCAGTGATTCCAAAGCAGGGCACAACAGCCCCTGTTGTGATTTGTAAACACCACTGTCCATCTTTGGATTTTATATAACTCCGGAGCAATTTCTCAGGTTTTTCTCCTTAAAACACCTCATCTTGGTTTTGGCCAGCCCTGATATGTGGGATTTTTTTTCTCTTTTTCAGTTGATTGGCATCATTCTTGCCTGCTGCCTGTCCCGGTACATCACGAATAATCAGTACGAGATGGTGTAGCTGGCCCCCAGCACGCTGTGCCTGTGGCTGGGTATGTCTGTAAGCTTAGTGGGCTGTCTCTGCATCCCTGTCTATGCCTGGTCACCCCTGGGATAGGGGCACCATGTGTGGGGCATGTGCTTGGAGGCAACCTGCAAGACCATGTCTCCTATGTAATTTTAAGCTGTGTATAAATCCATCCTGTCTGTTAACTTCTTGCTGTTGTGCATTGCAGGGAATGCTCTCCAAGGCTGGGGAGGATGCCTCCACCTCAAGTTTTCCTCTGGATGCCACCTTGTGAAATCTTGCTTTGAACTGACTGATCTTCTTCTCGACTAGCTCATAGAAACGAGTGCACGAGCTGTCCTGGTGTGCTCAGGGACTTGTCCTGACACTACTCTGCTGTGCCACTGCCTGGGATAATTAGTGTAGCTGCGGTGGTTACAGCCAGCACGTTCCTCCAGGCGCTGCAGCCCCCGGCTCTTTCCTTTACAGTGCAGAGTGCTGTGCCGTGTTGAACTGACTGTGCTGGTGTCCTCGTGGGACTCAGTGCTCATCTTCAGTGCCTCCATTGGGAAAGCGATGCCTCCCCTCCCCTCTGGCAGCCCCTTGAGATCCCCTGACTCTCTGGATATGGTTGCTCTTGAGATGAGGCCGTTGCCCCATTAACACACGGCCCTGCCTGCCCAAAGCCTTGGCTCGGCCAGGTCTCGGCTTGTTGCCAAGCTCCCTCTCATCCCTACCCGGGGTTTTATATACTTTTTTTATAGTTGTACTTCTTGAAGTACAGGCTGTAGTGGTTCTTTGTAAGCTGTAGTGAGATTTGGTGATGTAGCTCCTGGTGCCTTTACCTTGGTAGGTGTCCTTGCACCGAGTCAGCTGTGACTTGATTGTCAGTATTATATGCTGCTTCAACTCATTTTATGTATTGAGTAGAACTCTTTTGTCCTGAGACACAATAAATATTAAGATATTTTAGTCTATGAAACCTCCTTGACTTTTCTTTCATGTCCTGGAAATTCCTCTGCTTGAAGAGCAGCAAGCCCCCCAGGGGATGATCTGCTCACCCTGGGCCAGGGAGGAACCTCTGGCCATTGCAGTTCGCATTCCTCCAACGTGCACTGGTGCACTTGTGCTTGCAAATAACTTCTGTAATTGAATTTTCTTCATAACAGAGGTTGTGTAACAGTGCTGAAGCAGAGGGCCTGGAGCATCCCAGCCCAGGAGCCAGGTGGGTTAAGTTCAACCCATTACAGACGTGCATCCTTGGCTGGCCACTGTCTTGGAGTGAAGGGCACGGCAGTGCCAGCTGCTCCCCAGGGCAAGAAATGTGGATTTAAGCTTTTACGTTCCTTTGTTACTGCTCCTCTCGGGGCTGTTCCATCAGCAAACCTTTGCCTTGCTGAGCCTGATGCTGCAATGATGTAGTGAATCTGCCCTCTGCCAAGCTTGGGGGATTTTTGGGTCTCAAACACTGAACTCAAATGAGCTGTGTCTGGCTGGATGCTGGGCTGCCCGTCCTGTTCCTGGAGAGGAGGCAGGTGTAAACAGAACAGTGAAGCCAGGGGTGTAGCAGTGGTGGCCCTTTGTCAGTGTCACCATTCTGGCAAGCACTGCTGGGTGAGCTGTCCCAGCCCAGGCACCCCAAGGCACGGGTCAGGCTCCCTGCTGACGGGGGAACCTGCAGGGGAACACCCAAAATCCTTGTGTTGCATTTAACCTAGGTGAGTAAATCAAGACTGTTGTCAGCTCCTGGCAGGCTGAAAGCCTCCTGGCTTAGGATGGCGAGGCAGAGTGCGTCAGAGTATAGAAACTGGGCTGGAGATTGGCTGATGGCAATTAACGGATGGATGGAGACAGGGCAAGGACATGTGAGAAGCAGAGCCATATTTGGACAAACCCCTCCTCATCTGAAAGCCTGCACAGAGGGAAGGACAGTGCCCTGCCCTGGTCTGTGTCCCTGCCTCCACAGGCAGATCCCTTCCCAGGGTGGCTGGAGGAGGTGATGCCAGGTGGAGAGGATAGTGCTGGCAGAGGGTGACATGGGGAGCCTGGAGGTTTCTGAGCTGCTGCAGGAAAAACAGCACGGATTGTGCCAACGTGGGGAGTGTGGAGGCTTGTTCAGCCTGCTCATCCCCATAGGCAGCAACAGCACTGTGGCCATCAGAGTGTGTGGATCTTACCTGGTTGAATAGCATCTATATAGATAACTCACTTTATTTTGGAGAGAAGTTCCAGAGGAACAGGCATGTGCCTGGGGAGGTGCAGGCAGACCTGGGACACTGCTCTCCTGGCAAAGGCATTGTATGCACCTTGGTCACCTGTCTGGACCCATGGAGCAGGGACAGAAGGGCTCTGGTTTCTTGCACCAGCTATTGGTTGGCTGGGCTTCACACATCCCCCACTGTGTCTGAACCTTCCCTCGTCGGGGGATAAATGTCTCAGGGGACTTGTCAGAAAGCTGATTGGTGTCCCTTGGGATGTCATGTGGGGAGTTCTGCTGCACCATGCACCCAGTGTTTTAACCACACTGTCAGCACAGCCATGAACAGGGATGAAGGGAACTGCTCTGAAAATGTGCTTATGTCCCCATGGGAGATGCGGGAATGGTGGGAGGGTCTGGCTCTGACCTCTCCTCCCTTCTCTGTATGTACATTCTGGCCATGGCAGTGTGTGCTTCCTTGGTGACACAGAGAGGGTTTCACCTGTGATACCCATGGGATGTCAGAGCTCCTTGGCTGCTGCTGGCTGCCTGGGATGAGAGCTTGAGCTTGGGTCTGGGGTGAGCCCCGAGGCTGTGGGCTGGGGACAGCTGGTCACCCTTGGGGTACTCCACACCCTCTGATCCCTCTAACTTTGGCTGCTTGGTTCCTCGGGGAGATCCTTGCACCAGCTCCTGCCTCTACCTCTGCTGAGACAACTCCAGAGGGAACTGGTGGCACCCCTGGGCTGTCAGTAACAACTACTGAACACATCACAGCATGCTGGAACAGGGGGTCAGGACATGCTGAACAACCACAAGTGCCATCAGAGAGCAAATTAGGGACCTCTGCACGTTCCCAGTGAGGTGAGTGCCGGCAGATCCAGTACCTGAGTTATGGATGCTCATGACGAGGTAGCCAAGCCATTAGATCACTTCTCGGACCCATTAAGCATCAGACTGAGACTAAAAGACTTTCCATTTTCTTTGCAATCGCTCATACAAGACGTTTATTGTTTGCCTCTTGCTGCTCAGCGTGGTGGCGATGCGCTCGAGCGCGGCCTCACCCAGCCCCGCCGGAGCAGGGCAGGATGCTGGGGGATACACATGCTGAGGGTGCCGCAGTCGGCAGGTTCACACCTCACTGGACATCAAACAGGTATTGACCCGCATGTTGGCTGTGTCAGGATGCACCTGGCTGGGTGGTGACGTGGCAGGTGGGCGCTACACCCTGCCCAGCATGCGCGCAATCCACCAGTTGCAGGGCATGATGATCCGGCAGATGACCCTCCCGCCCTGGTAGCAGTAGGGGTAGGGGTAGTAGCCCAGGAGGGGCTCGCAGACCCGCCGGCAGTAGCGGTTGGCACGGCGGCACTGGGCACAGCAGTAGCCTCGCTCGTCCCACAGGGGATGGAACTCCAGCCCATTCTCTGACTGTGGGGAAGAGGCAGAGTCAGTGCAGTGAGGGGAGTGTGAGGCTGGATGGACAGGACATCCTGGGAAGGCAGCCAGGGTACCCCAGAGGCATGGAGAGAGCACCCCAGGAACAGGGACAGGGCACTCTAGAGGCATGGACAGGGCATTCCAGCAGCACAGATGGGACATCTCAAGGAGCATAGCTAGGACACCCTGGAACCATGGCCAAGATACCCCAGGGTTGTGGCCAGGGCACCCCAGACCATGGGCAGGGCACCCCAGAGTGTGATTCTTTCACTCACATAGTCATTGACAGGTAGGTCCTCCTCAGTGAGCTGCCGTGCTCGGCGCTTGGGCCCCAGCTGTGCATCCTTCTCCGCCTCGTGTTCGCTCCCTCCATCCAACCAGCTCTGGTTGTCTACGAGCAGCTCAGGGTCTTCTTCTTCTGCCCCTTCAAGGTTGGCCAGCTCAGGAGCTAGAGGAAGAGCCCAAATGTTGCTGTCAACAACTATGGAGCAGAGGGACAAAAGCTGCAGCAAGAACTAATGTCTCTACCGGAATTTGGTGCCAAGATACAGAAAAAAACCACCAGGAAATCAGTACTCCATTTCCTCCTGCTCTCAGCCAACCTGAGAGAAGGGCTGTAGGAGGTAATGGCCCATTCCATCCCATTCCCATGCCCGTGGGTGATGGGTGTCCATGGGTGCTGTTGACATTTCCTGTGTGAGGCTGTGGGTGTGTAGAAGCACATCTTCATGGTGGGATCTGCTGCTGGGAGGTGGATTTGTAGGGCCACAGCAAAGTGGCAAGATTTGGAGCAGATTATGTCCAGATACAGCATTCATAGCTTGGGTAAGACCCACAGCATCATTAATTTCCTTTGCTGGGGGAGATGTCAGGAAGCCTCGGGACACTGCTGTCCTGGCAAAGGCACTGGATGGACGTGGGTGACCCAGCTGGACCCACTGACCTGGGACACAAGCCCTGCTGCAGACGGGGTCTAAGAGCAGGGATGAGGAAGCAGAAAGGGGACAAGTCAAGGATACCAGCCTCTCTCTGCACCAAGGCTCTCTGATGCCCACCTGCCCTCAGGACCACCTGTGGCTGGTACCTGTGGGGGACATGATGTGGCTGCAGAGCAGAGGGAGTTTTCACAGTAGGGATTTTTAAACTAGCTCATTCGGCTGGAAGTGGGTTAGAGAGAGCGGGTAATTACACTGGCAGATCTCAGAGGCCACAACCTCTGTGAGGGCTGTGTAGTGAGCAGCTGGAGGTGGCAACCCCGCCGTGTGATTTAGATGCAGATGTCTGCTCGCACTCTGATGTTCATGCAGTGTCGAGAATTTAGGCGTCCCAGTTTCCAGCAGTGCTGGTTTCTTTGCAGGTACAAAGGATTGCTTTTTTTTCCCTCTTGTTATGAGGAGGGTGGCCACTGCAAAGTGCATGTCGGTGGGGAGCTGGCAGAGACAAGCACTTTGCTGAGAGAAACTTCAGCCCCTGCTATTACACTGGCTGAGATCTCCTGCGGTCACGGGCAACATTGTGTTCATGTCTGAGATGTACAGCAAGGAGGTGAAAAAGGGTTCCCACCATGTCACAGTGCGGGACATGGGAAGGGGGCCATGAGTGTGTGACAGAGCTGCTTCTGGTGAGAGGGCTCAAGAGCACCTTGGGGAGGAGATGGCTCCTTGTACCTGCTATTGGTGTGGGGTGGATCCAGAAGATGGTCACATTTCTGCAGATGTCAAAAATTTTTGAACTCTTCAGGAACTCCTTGTTCTGAATGGGCTTTTCCCCAGGCACCCAGACTACAGACTGCTCAAAGTAGGTGGTGGTGATTTCTTCTCCCTGGAAAAAGAGCAAGATTTGACCCTGGCATGCTCACCGACGTGGGAGACTCCCTCTCCCCACCACTGGCTGCTTCTCCTTCCCTTGGTTCACCCAGAGGCATCTGGACTTTGTCTGCCTTGGCTCATGGTGCTTGCTGGGTGCACACAAAGTACCCAGCTGGTCCTCACATGGGGGACCCATCACAAGCCCTGTCTTTCCTGTCCACCTTCAGTCAAAACCACTGTGTTCTCTCCCCTCCTAGTTGATCATCCGAGGGCCTTATCCTGTGCAGTCCCCACCATCTGGAAGAGCCTTTGGAGCACCCCAACTCATTCAAAACACAAGATTAAACATCTCCTCTCTGCTCTACTCTTAGTACTTAATGCCTCTCTCCTTCTGCTACTGATTTTGTGATCGAACACTTTAATTTATTCCTCACAGAAATTCTTTGCACGGCTGTATCCTGTAATTTATACCACATGTCTCTGTCGTTGCATTAGTCCGTGGTGTGTTTTGGCAGGCACTTAGGGAGGGACATATATAAAGATTATTGGATGGATCTTTGCTGAGTTCTCTGCCAGGGCAACGCTGTCTGCGTTGGTGGTGGTAGCCCTTAGAGCAAGCTGGCAAAAGGTGTTTTTCTCTCAGAAGGTGTCTGGAGCTGTATATCTCTCTTATAGAGTTTTTTTTCTTATGACTTTGGGAAGACACAGGAAGGAGCCAACACAACCTGACCCAGTCTGGGTCATTTTGGGATTCTCTGGTAGAAGCTGCAGGGTTGGGGCAGTGCTGCTTGCAGGACCTGGCAGCATGCAGGCTCTGAGAAGAGATGGTGGAGCTTAAATCTACATTTATCTCGCTGGGTTTTACATTTCAGCTCTCTACCCGGGGCGATGTTCTGCTAAAGCCTGGGAAGTCATATCCCTTTTATGATGGTAGCTGAAAAGATCTATTAGCTTCTTAGGGCATAATCAAAGAATCGGTGTCTGGGAATTTGGGTCATGATTCAGGGAAATGTTTCTGCCCACGCTTCCTTTCAAACACATGTCCTGGTGGTGTTTTATCTGCGGCAGCGTCCTTGGGGGGGATTCAATCTGCTAACACCCATCGTCTCTCAAATGGGGAGGCAGGAAGGCTGTGCCACCAGGGGGGCCTTGGGGAGGGGGACAGGGCCAGGGGACAACTGCCATCAGAGGACTGAGCCATCACTCCGGGGCACGCTGTCAGAGAGGGGTTAAAATAGGGAGTCCAACACCTTTTTCCGCGTTGCATACAAAATGTGAGGCTCCTTGCAGCAAGGTGCAGAGGGCAAAAGATAAATGGATGCAGGAAGCAACCAGGTACATCAGTGGGAGGAAAGTCCACACAGGGAAGTGGCCCCAGACTGGTGCTTCCCACCTCTCAGGTCTATATGCCACGAGTTTTCTCGAATTGCATTTCTTAGAAGTGGCTGCTCTTTAAAATCCCTTACTTCTACCTCATTCTGCTTGAGAACACGAGGCTCAAATCTTGGAGAAAACAATTTGATTGACTTTTTGGTGCCTGCTAATCCTGAGCTGCCTTGCGACCTTTTGACTACAACAGGATTATTGTTCTTGATCTCCGGTATTGTGCTGAGAGGTTTTTGTCTGTCGCTGTCTAATCCCGTCTCTTTTCACTTGTTTTTATAAGCAATCCTCTGAAATAAGAGCATTTTATGAAGCGATCACAGCTCATTATTTCTTTATTGCAGCATCTCTGGGAAGGCTGGAGCAGATGGGAGGGTGGCAGGAATGGCAGCCACTCTCCTGTGCCAGGGAGAGGAGTGGGTTTCACTGGGGACAGAGGTACCCCCTGTTTTATTCACCTACCTCAAGCTCGGGGATCTTGGCCTCTGTCGTCTCAGGTAGGACTTTAGTCTGAGTTTTGATGAAACATTTTTGAAGTCCCACAAAGAAGATGCCGGTTATTCCCTATAGGATCAAAGCAAACACCCAAAAAGCAGTCAGGGCAAAGAGTAGGACGAATAACCCATTGTACAGAAGGTACAGCTGGTGGAGGGCTTAGTCATATTTTTGGTGTTGATGTTTTTGTGCCACCTCTGTTCCACAGTGGTGCTAAGATGCACTAACAGGTTCTCCTAAGGGATATTTCATTTTATGGTTTGGGAGAACTGGGATTTTTGCAAATATTTTAAAGCAGGTAGTCATAAAATTTTACTCCGCTCCCCTTCTCCTTATGACTATCATGAGCTCTCATTATCATAAATAAAAATATGCAGAATAGCATCTGACCGTTATGGTTATATGAACATTCAGCCCCCAGTTCCTGCTAGGCTATTAGCTCAAAATTTTGCCATATGTCACTGCACCAGGTATTTCCCTACAAATTTTAATTAGGTTTCAGAGAGAGCCTACAACAGTGTCATGAGGTTTTAATGCTCTCCAGACAGATGAATGTACTGGGCCTGGATAGACTGATGATGGTTGTGTTCCTTTGCAAGGGTAAATCCGATAACCAGGTCTTGCTTGAAGATGTATTTCATCGGAGCTGAACCATGCCACTATAAAATACCAGTGGAAGCTTATGTAGATACACATCTCCTTTTCTTTGAGGGCATCCCCAGAGAGTTTGAGCATTTCTCTCCCTGATGAAGGAGAAAATAGTCCTCCACAGCACTCTAAGGGATCCCATCAGTCCTGCTGCAGGACTGGGGGGTCTCAGGAACAAAGTGCCACACTCACATTTTTGAAGTCATGGATCTCCAGGATTTCCTCGCTGCCGTTCCCGCTGGTGAAGGTCTCTGTCCTGGCCAGGGGGTCAATCTCCATCACAATCTTCTTCTTCTCACCATTGCTGAAGAACGTGTGTTCCATATCATAGACCTGTAAGGGCCAAAGTCACACAAGGGTCAGCTCAGAACCCCTCCCAGTTTCACACACTGCCCAGTGGGTGAACAGGTTGGTGCTTGGTGCGTGATCACCCATGCTGGGTATCCTGCCATGGCTGCTTCCTCACGTGGCGGCTTGTGCCAAAGCAACCTTCTGGATAGCACAAGGAGAGGCAGCTCCCATGTGCCAGAGCTCGGCAGAAGTGCAGGATGCAGCCAGAATGAGGGGCAACTTGTCTGTCAAGCCTGGGATGTGTGTCAAACCTAGGAAAAAATGCTCATCGCACACTTGCACCAGGAGCTTTGCCACAGCTCAGCCTTTGCTAGTGCTTTCTGTGGCATGAGCCTGGTTACAGCCCAGGCTGGACTGAAGTCCTGAACCCAAGGGGACCTCATTTTCCCTCCTCCCTGCCTTGCTTGCTCCATCACTGTCTCCCTGTCTTTCTTGCTCCGTCATTGCATCCCCATCTCGCTTACTCCATCACTGTGTCCCCAGCTCACTCGCTCCATCTCTGCGCCTTCTGTTTTTCCTGGAAAGGCAGAGGTAAGAGCCTTTCTCTGCCTGGAGGAGATGAAGGATTGCCTGCGGATCAAAGACCTCCTTGAGGGCTGCTGAAGAGCTTCGGGGCGTAGCAGCCGGCTTCCCGTCGGCACTCCTCCCCACGGGGAGCCGGGGTGAGCAGCGCCGGAGGGAGCAGCCCTCTCCTCCTCGCAGGTGCTCGCCGCACTCAGCCAGCCCGGCAGCCCTCCAGTCTCTGCGGATGCCTGACCCTTAAAGGATGAGTAGTGGCAGATGCTATTTGAAGCACAGAAATGATCCTGCTGGCACAGCGAGAGCTGGCGAGCCTCGGGGAGCCTTGATTCCAAAATCAAACGGTGCTGTGTGGAAGCAAAGGGCTTGTGCAAAACCCCTCAAGTCCACTGGGCAGGGAGGAGGGGTGGAGGCACGGTGATGGGAAAGCCCTGTTAATCCCCTGACATGGCCATGGAGCCAGGGAAGGAGCACCCTGGCCCACTGGTGTGGGGCAGGGGCTCAGCCTTCAGTGCTAACCCAAACCCCCTTTCACAGTCTCCTGATTCCTGCACATATCTCCCCATTTGGGAGGTTCAAAGTCTCTTAGCAATGTTTCCAGCATCAGCATTCCCCATTTTGCATCCACCTGGGCACAGAACTGGCTGTGGGAACTGCTAGGTACCTTCACCCCTGCTTAAAGGTTAGAGGAGTGATATGTACCTTGGCAGTCATGAGCATCTCCTGTTGGTCTGCAGGAAGCTTTTACAAAGATATATAGCTCTCAATGGATTTTATGATACAGTAAAAACAGTCTGAAGCCTAAAATGACTGTATGGCTGCTGGTTTTGACTGACAAAATGTGCATGGTGCCATGAATCATTTCTAGGAGGGCAGGATCCCAGGTGGCACCTTACCTTTGAGTGCCTTTCCATTTACAAAGAATTACTTTGGCCAGTGCAGCGTCCAGCTAACCCACTTGGGTTTTGCCAGCTCTGTACTGTTCAGGGAGCTGTGAGATATTTTCTAGGGCTACAAATGACACTTTCTGGCGAATCATTGAAATATGTCCCCCTGTGAGGCTGCGATGAACCCCTTGTCAGCTGCACCATCTGCCTAGCTGGCCGGCGCGGGTGCTGCCTTGCAGGGGGCAGAGCCACATCCAAGGCAACCCCTCGGAGGCACAACTCTTCTTTCAAGTTTTTTTCCCCACTCTCTGGTTACATTATGGGTACTTGAAGGGTTTCTTGTTCTTTAAAGAGTTTCATTCCCCTTGGTTTATATTTTTGGGTGTTAGGAAGTTCCAGCCTCCCCCATCCTGCTTTTCCCCAAGTGCTCCTGAGTCAGGTGGAGAAGACACTGCTCTGCAGCCATGGGGACACAGCAGTGCTGGACACTGGGAGTGTCAGCATGCAGCTCCACCACAGGAACATCTCTGCTTTCCTGTGACCTCACACTCCACTTGTCTGCCCATCAGGTATTGGCGAGGGCTGGATGGACTCCATTGTCCACCAGTGCCCACTGGTGAGGATGCCAAGGGCTGCTGTTCTGGATATGCTTTCTGAGGCTGTGGCAATGTCTCTGCACTGCTGGCTTGGAGAAATTCTTCCCTTCAGGGGTTAACAGCCTCTTCCCCTCATGGCTGGCATGACCTCTGTTTTTCTAGGAACAGTAAAGGCTTTATAACCATCTTGGCAGGATCCTGGAGGCACATCTGGCTTTTATTGCCTTTTCTTTTATTTTGGGGGGTATTTGTTTCTATTTGCTGATAAGAAGATGGTTTCCAGCAAGCAGGGTGCTTCCTCTGCCCAGCAGGAGGGCAGCCTGGCCACGCTGGAGCAGCTCCGGTGTGGGGCAGGGAGGAGAGATGAGATGCCAGTGTGGGAAAGAGGCTGCCTTGGCTGCACATGGGAATTTTGTAGACATTCTTGAGAGTTGTCAAAACCTGCTGGTGCCAGGGTGCAAAGTGAGGCCTCCTGGATGAGCATGGATATTCAAAGGAAAGGAGAATGAGGGGTACTGGGGAGGCTGTTGGCTTCAAGGTTAAGCAATTTACTTGGGGTATGGGATAAAAAAATGGTTTGGGCAGAACTGTCAGGATGCTGGGCAGCAGTGGGCAGAGACGGATAGGGGATGCACAGTCCTTCTGCCACCCTGACATGCTTGGTACTTACAGAAGTGTCCTTCTGGAGCTGGGAATAAACGAGCCCAATCCAGTTAGCAGGAGCTCCTCCAGAAGCTAATCCATCTCACCATCCCCTCACATTGCAGACACATTAAAGTAAGAAATATAATCCATGACAATCAATCACCACTGCGTCCTGGCTTTCTCTCCTCTTTATGCAGTGGCATAATGACTTTTCCACCAGTTTCTGGCAAGATAATTGAAATGAAATGGAAAATATTTTCTTACTTGTCATAAAATTTGCTGCCGGTGAAATAAGAGTAACTTTAACTCTTCGTGGCGTAGCTCCCATCCCCTGTAATTGTCAACTGGGGAAAGAATGCGGTGACAGGGAAAAAACTCAGCCTGTATTAAGTAAAAGCTAGTTATGAATAATACAGAGGTTTTTAAAAGTGCCATGAATACTTGTGGTCTGAGAAAATGCACTTTGTGAAGTTGCTTGGGTTTTGGGGAGTAGTTAAAAGTTTCAGGGGCTAAGGGGAGGGGGACGACTCTGTCTGGGGAAACAAGGCTTTGAAATGCTGTATCAAAGAGTTTTTACTTACTTTTCTGGATGTTGGGTTCCAGAGGTATTTGACACCAAAAAATATCAGAATAAGAGAAAGGAGCAGCACGCTGAGGAGCAGTCCACAGAGCTGGTACCTGGGGCAGCTCTTCTTCCGCGGCTTGGCTGCTTCTGCCTAATTAATGACAAAACAGTGATAGCCAGGGTGTGCTGAGGATTCGAGGAGGGAGGACGACACGCACGTATCAGACATTTGTGGTACTGTAGCGATGCAGGGTGGCAAAGCAAGCCATGAACTTACGTCCAGAAAGCGGCAGTGCTCCGGGCTATCCCGAGCCGTCCCTCCCATGGTCTCCTCCGTGTGCGAGGACGCCAGCCCGCTCCGAGGTGGAGTTAGAGAGGCTCTGTCTGCACACGCGGTGGGAAGGCTGGGTCACGGCCGCCCCCACGGAGGTGCAGCCAGCTTTCCCCACAGCCTGCGGGGCCCCAGGCACTCCCACAGCGCTCCTGTCTGCAGGCACAAGCCATTCCCACGCTGCTGGAGATGAGCCCACATGAAGCCTCACAGCACGGTCGGTGTCCATCACTTACGTCCAGGGTCACATTTTTGGTTTAATCTCTGCTTCCACCCTACACTGTTGCTCATGCACCAATGGCTGGAGGTGCTCAGGCTGTGCAAATGCTGCCGGCCTCCCTGTAGCTTGGGGACGTGGGCACTGCTGCAATCAGGGGGTTGCTTACCTCTGCTTGTGCATGTGAGGGGGGCTCTGCAGCGGGTGCCCCCCAGGAGCTGCCAGTGGGGCCACTGTGTGGCAGGGGGGACATGGGCATGGTGGGGGGAGAAGGGCATGGCAGGGGACCAAGTGTGTGTGGGACGTGTGTATGAGCATGTGTGTGCAGGCACACGGGCACGGGTGGGCATGGGTGTGTATGTGCATGCACGTGTGTGCACACAGGAGAGTGCGTGTGTGTGTGCAATGTGTTTGCACGAACATGCACACGGCTGTGCACGTACACGCGTGTGAGCACATGTGCAATGTGTGTGCGCCGTGAATCCTGATCTCTCCCAGCGGAGGGCTGTGGCATCCCACGCCCGCCTCGTGCAGAGCCTTGCCCCGAAGTCGGCCTAGCCAGGAATTTCCTGACTAATTTTTTTCTTTCAATATGCTCAAAAATTTCCCCGTGTTGAAATCGTGACGTTTCTTCATGGAAATGAACCCATCTCAGGAAAGGCTTTCAGAAATACCGAGTGAGGTTTCTAGTCTGAACATGATGAGGCTCCCTGGTGTAGAAGGGCTAGCATGGAATTCTTTTTCCAAGCTGTTTACTCTAATAAAAACCCAGAGAGCATCATGTACTAATTAAAATTGCACAGAAAAAATTGAAAACCCACATCGAGTTTTGCTTAGGATGAGAAATGGAGGCAGAAATTGCTTTTAGCAGGTCCAGGGCTGGCTTTGGAAGCATTGGGAACATCGCTACCTGCAGCCTGGGGGTAAATCCTGGAGGGACAGAAGTGGAGATGCTGAATAGCTTGTGGAGAGCATTGTGCACTTGTGTGTGCCCTGGTGTGTATCTGCTCCCTGAAAAAGGGTTTGGGCTCCCTGGTCCTGGAGCAGCAGGAACTCCTCGCCCCTTGGCAGTGCCAGGGGTGTGAAATGCACCAGGGGAGTTTAATATTTGAGATGCCAATAACAGAAGGGAATCATATTGATGAGGTTATTTGGAGGAGGGAAAAAATCCCTTTTTAAAGGAAAAAAATCACAGGCAGCCTTTGAAAACGTCTGAGAGATTTTGGAAATCTAAATGCAGCAAATCTGTGCACACACCAGGTTTGTCTGTCTCCACTTCTCACTAGAAAGTTCCATCTCAAAAGCTTTTGTTATTCACTGGAAACTGAAGTATTTGAAAACATTTTCCTTTCTTGTCAAAATTAGAGTTTCAGAGGAAAACTTTGGAACAGCTCTACTGAAAGATGGTTCTGATTACAGGAAAGAATTACAGCAGTGGCGTTAAACAGACGTAATTGATCAGCAGAGCAGGGATCTTCACCATATCCCCCACTCAAGGCACAGGAAACACTGCAAATACCACTCGTAAACTAAATTAGGCATTATTATTTTATTACTGTTGTAAGGTAAATGTCAAGCTTTTTAATGGCAATCACTGTAACTCCAGCAGGAGTCAGGTGTCTGAATTAGTTGGAAGAGGTGAGAACCTCCCAGGGCCAGGAGTTAATAAAACTCAATAAATATCACCAGTCCCTTCCAGCGCTTGGAATGCCGGGGATGGAGCAGCCAGGGTGAGCAGTGGGGGCGTGGGGGGATCCTGCAGCTGGGCTGGA